ATAATATAAGTATTAAGACAAACAAAAAATCATCCTCAGATGTATTTCTTTAATTTTTAAGACTTTTCCACTTGTTCATTTGACTTAATAAAAGTTTCCTATTTCAAAAGTATGCTTTTTCATCTTAGTGTCCAGTCAACCCACCCCCAGTGCCCAGTTAACCCACCCCACGGGGTTAACTGAGCACTTTCCCATTTTTTACAAAATCTAAATTTTGACCATGAAGAAATTTAAAAAATGAAACATACTATTTTTTGCAGATACCTTACATTATACTGAAGACATTGTACTTTAAAGATTAACTCTATCTATCACCAAATTTGTTTTATGATTTTTCAAACAAAATGGTGCCCACTTAACCCCAGTCTACCCTACCATATACGAGTTATATGTTAGCATTAAGCTGGTCAGCGTTATACTAGTATTACTCTCAGCAGTATAATGCTAACCATATACGAGTTATATGTTAGCATTAAGCTGGTCAGCATTAAGTTGATCGGGTAGGTATTACAATCCAGAGTCATAGAATAATGACTAGCTGACGAAACTAGCGAAGCTATTTATTATTCTACGCCAGAGTGTTCTACTACTTAGGGATTATGTATGGGGTAGTGTTGTACAATGAGTTATGTATTGGCATTAAATTATAGGTCCACATTAGTGCGCCCCCTGACCGCAACGCGACCCAAACCCCCAACGACGCTTCACGCCCTCTAAGGTCCGCTTCGCGAACCCCTCGTGGGTTAATGCAAATAGAGTAAGCTCATCCATAGGGACTAAGTATATCTTATCGGTTGCCAAAAGCGATTTTCCAAACTACGAAAGGAAATGAAATATATAGGTACAGGAAAATGGAAAATTAATAATAATTCCCAAATAATTATAATAATATAATTAATATAATAATAATATATAATAATAAATAATATATATAATTAATGTAATATTATTATTAATAATTTCCCAGAATTATTGAGAAAGTCAATGATAATGACACTGATTAGATTTCTTGTGGAAGTCAATTATGTAGGTATTTTTCAAATCGTGCAATGACACCTGTAAATTCAAGTTCATCCTGAAATTTCAGGAAAAATGAGTGCTTTCACTAAAATTACTTTTTATATTTTTCTGTTACCGCGAAGGAGAATGCTGATGCATTAAAAAAATGGGCATAAAATAAAACTACAAAAGCAAAGGCTCGTTGTACAAGGATGTTAAGAAAAATGACTTCTTTGCAAGAATGTAGGTAAGTAATCCTCAAATTAAAGGAACTGTCAGTAAGGCCAACACGCTACCATTTTCTTTTAAATATAATTTTTAGCAGAAATATGAAGTAAAGAAGTGTTTTAATGTTTTATTTTCTCATTGGAAAAAAGGTATTGTGAACAGAAAAATTTACAATTTAAAATTCCATGTATTTAGAAAACATCAGCGTGCATATACACATGGCAATAAAACACGAAATTTCTCTCAATATAGGACTTAACTTTAATCCTTATCTAAATTATAATAGCACTCTGTAATGTACGAACGATCATTGCATTATTTCATTAGCATGCAATTGACATCGATACGGAAACAATAATTTTTTCAGCTTTACACTGCCGAGTGTATAATTGGTTCAGTACCAGTGTAATAAATACATGAATGTAAAAATATCTTCTCTTTCATTTCAGTTCTTTTCATTTTTTCTCTAAACTTAGTAATTTTCCAGTTACTTACAGATTACGCTTGGAAAATGATGTTTATATGAAAACTCCAAATAAATATGAACTTACAGAACGTTAATAAAACTTCGTTGAAAAAATCCATTCAAGGATTTCGCGCACTTACTTCGACTAATGGCAAATTTGACGTTCTTTCATTTTGGTGCTCTTCACTTTTCGGTTTCAACGGTTTTCGGGATCAACGGTTATCGGGATCAACGGTTTTCGAGGTAATTAAGCTTTTTTGCCCAAAAATCGGCCGCCGAGACCCCCGAGCCCCCTAGATTCAAAATGGCGGCGTTAACACAATGTGGTTTCATGGGGACTTTTAGTATGTTCATGAGAAAGGTCATAGTAACACTTCATTATTAATTTTTCCCCGAGCGATGCTATATTGACCGTACGCGAAGCCCGCCCAGAACAGCTAGTATTAGTATGTTTTCGCCGTGAGCCGATTTCTTAACGTCTTCGAAAATTCGCCTTTGCGGCAAATTCATGATGAGGCACTGAGACCAGGCCACAATGCCGGGTACTTCCCGCTTATTATCATTTCCCCCAAAAATTCAAAAGCCGCGCCATCGCGTTCCGTTTCCTACGAAGGTACAGAAGCGGTGACAAAAATTCCTGAAGGGGGGAGGGGGTTGCTGTGAGAAAATTTTTAGGGGGGAAGGGGCTCCCTGACGAGTTGGGCGGACCCCTCCCCACAATGTTTTGGGCGAACCCCCTATTTTTTCGGAATTCAGACCCCCCCTCCCAATTGGTTTACGAAATCATTGTATAATGAAAGTCCGAGAAAACAGTATTTTCTCGCGTGATTGTGAACTGAATTCTAAAAGCGCCTTTAAGATAAATCCGGTTTTGGTTGTGAATTTCATTCGGCTGCTTACGATCAACTTGCATCTAGATTCGATTAGTGGAACTGAATGGCTGTACCTAATGTAATATTCAAACCACGTTCAAAAGACCTGAGTCAGCGATCATTAACGTGAAAATCAATTTGACCCTTGATTTTCATAAGTGATCATAATGTTATGTGATCGGGGTAATTGAGCTTACAGAAACGGGTTTATCCGAATGCAAAATTGGATTACTGAGCTGTATTTGAGAATTTCATTACCTACGTCAAAATAACAGTCTTTGATAAGAAAACGAAGACAGCGATAAGAAAACATTGTGGCTTCGTGGGGGGTCTCGTGAGAGAACGCGCAGCTCCTTGACCTTTTCACCTAAATCATGGTGCATGCTCTTGATCTGATCTCATTTTACTCGATATTCGTAAGTTCAATCAACAAACCCAATTAAAGCATTTGCGCTCTTGAGCGACTGAATCAAATACAAACACGCCCTTCAGCCGTAAATTAAAGTCAGCCTATTATCCTCCTTGAATGAAAAGAATGCCTCATGCTGTGTAGGTAAATATAGTTTAACGACGAGGACAAGTTTTACTCACCAACTGGTGCAGCTATATCTAGTTCCTTATCGTATCGGATGCCAAGAGGGATTGCTTTGTCTATCAAGTCATCCAGAGTCTAAAAAAAACCAATAGTAATAATAAAATTTTGAGAACAAAACATTTCGAAATTTAGCAAATCTCACCGAAAATTCGAGTTTCCCGTCGAAAAATACCCCCTAATTCCGAATATTGCAAGAATCGATCAAAGTGAAGCCGAGACAGCATATTAGGTCATCGCTGTCATCTTGGATTTTGGAATTTTGAAAATCTGACAAAAAAATGGAAGAAAGAAAATTAAATAAATAAATACATAGGTAGATAGATAGATTAAATAGATAGATTGGGGCATTATCCCTCTAGTGGACGAAAGATGTTTATAAGAACAAAAATGGGATTATGAGAAAAATGCTCAAAATTACAGACCCATTAAACGCCTTCGTACAATCTACAAACTGACCAGTATTATTTCAGAATGATCGGGTAGTATATTTCATGCATCTACTAACGACATGTTCCCCCTAAACAAAAAGGGTCGGCAAAAGACACCTATGACCACCTTAGACCACCTCTTGTTAAGTAGGTACATTCATACGCAGGTCCAAGAAACTGGGATCCTTCATACATATAACATCACCAAAGCTTTCTTGAATTGTGAAAATCAGCCCCGGTAGCCAAAAAAAATTGAAACGGCAATCGCCTCATCTCCGAAAACGGAAAAATAACTGAGGAAATAAGTAATAAACAGTAATGATGAATGGCGCCCCCCCTCCCTGAAAACTTTTACATTATGAAATTGCCAATGTACAACATTCTGGTAGTAGCACTTCGTAGATCTATGATTTTGGGGTAGCCGACGAGCTCGACTTAAATACTTTTCCCCAAAACCCTAAACTATTACTTTATGTTGGCGTAGGGGGGAGGGGGGCTTCGTGATGCAGGGAAGGCTCTCCTGCGCTGGCGACCACAAAATGAGTACCTATCTGACCCAGAGTGGTTGGGAACAATCCTAGCAGGCCTTTGATCCTACTATGGCTTCCCATGGAGTAAAGGGTTCGTCCAAAGCTAAGGTTCCAAACCGCAATCTCCTTCATGGGATTAGCAGTCCCATGCCCGGTTATCGAGATTCTTGTGAAAAACGATCAAGAAGGATCTTCGGTTTCATCAATCTGTAATGTGTGGTTGAAGATTAATAAACACCCTTAGAACTTAGGGCTGAAGACAGCCGTTGATCAACCAGGCATCAGACGACATGGACGGCCAGCGGCAATCGTAGATTAGGGTGGATCGAAATTTTCGACTTTAAGAGGGGAAACGCGTATCGTCGAAAAAAAGTTGTCAAATGGGCCCCATATGAAGTACCAAAAATTTCACCACATATAATTGACCCCCTAGTACCGCATATAGGCCTGAAAGGCCTTAATTTTCAATATCTTATACAGGGTGTTCGAAAAGTCCCCTCCCCCCCTCTGACTTTTGACCTTATTTGAAACTTGGGGGGCGTTCCTAGATCAAAGTAAGCTACTATTTGACCTCCCCAAAATTTTGGGGGGCACCTTGGGGGGGGGGGGGGGTTACGGACCCTAACTTTTTTTTCAAATAGGGAGACCCCCTTTATGATGCTTCGTTCAAAAGAGCATAAAAAAAGAAAATTTTCGCGCAAACCCGAAGTCATTATCTCAAACCGTTTCAGAATGGCGGCCGGTCAAAGTTCAAAATGGCCGAAAATTGGCACCTCTGCTATTTGCACATAGATTTGCTTGAAACTCGGTATCCGGGGGTATTTTGGCACGAGAAAAACGAATTTGACGTTAGATTTTAAAAAAAAACCCTAATTTTTCAAAATGGCCGCCGATTAAAGTTCAAAATGGTCAACAATGGGCAACCTCGACTTTTTGCCGATGGATTTGCCTGAAATTCGGTGTTTGGGGGTAAAAATACGTCGAATTCGTTTGTCTCCTACCCAGATAACCACCAAACACCGAGTTTCAGGCGAATCCATCGGCAAAAAGTCGAGGTTGCCCATTGTTGTTGACCGTTTCGAACTTTAATCGGCAGCCATTTTGAAAAATTAGGGTTTTTTTAAAAAAATCTAACGTCAAATTCGTTTTTCTCGTGCCAAAATACCCCTAGATACCGAGTTCCAAGCAAATCTATGTGCAAATAGCAGAGGTGCCAATTTTCGGCCATTTTGAACTTTGACCGGCCGCCATTTTGAAACGGTTTGAGATAATGACTTCGGGTTTGCGCGAAAATTTTCTTTTTTTATGCTCTTTTGAACGAAGCATCACAAAGGGGGTCTTCCTATTTGAAAAAAAAGTTAGGGTCCGTAACCCCCCCCCCCAAGGTGCCCCCCAAAATTTTGGGGAGGTCAAATAGTAGCTTACTTTGATCTAGGAACGCCCCCCAAGTTTCAAATCTCTACCTCAATAAAGTCAAAAGTTAGAGGGGGGGAGGGGACTTTTCGAACACCCTGTATAAAAGGTTCAAACACATGTTTTCTTGCAGATTTTGTCAAAATTTCGTTCGTTTTGACGTTTCGTGCAAGAGTAAAGTACAACTGACCATTTTCACTCGATAAATAGTTGGAAGCGCCCTCCAGAATGACCCATCTACAGTAATAGTGTCCGTCTGGCTCCAAAACTCTTCGGTTGCTGATGCGATTTCGGGACCCCTACCACGGAGCGCCCCCCCCCCCTCTTAAGTAACCGCGGAGGTCGGGAAAAGTTTGAAAATCCAGTATAGGTAAGGTGTGGTTTTAGGCTACCTGCTTTCTCTAAAAAATAAAAAAAAAAAATTGCATTCATTTTGACAATTCTATCATTCATCTCATCTTCTTTGCTTTGTCATTTTCTTAGATATTTTTTTTTGAGTTCTTTAAATTTTTTTTGCAATTCTGAATATTTTGCTTCAATTCTGTAAAAATTGAAAAACACAAAGAATAAAATGTTACTCAGAATAAATAATGGATTCTAAGACGTAGTAAGTAAAGTTTTGCAACCCTTATAAAAATGGGAAGTATAACTAGTATACTTTTTATGCACACAAAAAACCGCTAGGTAATACGGTATCTTCGTAAAAATCCAATTGATTTTCATCAAATAGGCATACCTAGGCTGTTTTGCCGGGGTGCCTGACCCCTCACCACCGGGGGGTCTGGGGGTTAAGGAATACCCCATAGTTCAGAAGGGGGTTCGGGGGGCCTCCCCCGAGAAATTTTAGAAATTTTAAATCAATTTAAACGCATTTTGTGGCCTCCGTGACGAATATTTTCCATCAATTTCCGCAAGAAAATTACAAGCAAAAAGTTTGAATGAAGACAACCTAGGTACCCCAAGTAGCATTATTCAACGGAAAAATCGCGATTTTATCACCGATGAAATCGCCAAAAAAAAGGGTTTACGCTGTTAGCCGATTGCCTTTAGGTTTAGCCGTCAGGTCCTTTGACGAAGACGAGCGTAAAATCCCCGGAGCCTCCGCGGGGATTCGAAGCCCAGTCGCAGCGGTGGTAGGCCAGCATGTTGCCACTAGGCTATGGCCGCTATATGACTAACGAGTGCGAATTGAAGCCTCTTATACATGAATCGGCGCTTCGCAACCGTACAACTTTTGTCATTGCGTTGACTGACACCGAGTTTTCATTATAATTTTTTTTTTATTTTCCCTCCTCTGTATTTTATTTCATGCCTTGAAATACGGTTGGTAAAATAAGGTTCTATTGGTAATCTCATAATTCTGTCTCGGTAAAATTACCAATAATAGTGAGATAGCAAAGTTACCGATGGACCTTGGTAAAAACGCCAACATTTTTTACCGACTGTGGTAGAATAACCGAGATAAAATGGTAAAGTTACGGGAAATTGATTAGGTACCAATAAAAGTGGTACCTACATATTCCTGCCTGAAAAAACCAGTAAAAATACCGGTTTTTAGGTAAGCTTACCAGTCTCTCACGGTAACATTACCCATAATTGGTAAAAAAAGTGAGATGGTAAAGTTACCAACGAACCTGGGTAAAAACGCCGAGAATTTTTTCTCAGTGTGGGCGTACAAGCGGGATCGAAGTTCCTGCGTCGAATGGTTTCCCGCAACCCGGCATACACAGCTACGGCGGCCCGCGGAATGGGTTGCGCGCCAGCTCTTGAATGGACAGAGTTTCTGGTGGGGGACAGAAATAGGTGCGTCGTCGCGGCGCGCGGCGATCAGGGGAATCAGGAATCCCATGCATAGATCGCGTCTCTCGCTATCGGCGCGACGCGATATCAACGCGGACGTCCAGCCACTGCAGTGCACTGAATCGGTCAGACAGATTAGTGTAGTGGGCCAAATAATAACTTAACGAAATCAAAGCCACTGGTGTCAAATTGCTGTTAAAAAGACCGCCCCTGAAAATACCGCTTAATACTGCCGGAAAACCGCCGTATGAGCCTTCAGACGATGCCAAATTTCCTTTGGAAAATCTCCAATTTCTGGGAAATTTTGTCAATATTGCTCTTCTAATTTATTAGAGGATTTTCTTTGTAATTAAAAGTATTAAAAGTGTATTAAAAGTGTCTGAAAATCTGAAGGAAAAATATTGATGACTTTGTCAAATCTCTCCCCCTCCCTGGGGTGTCCCTTACATGGGCGGAACGAGGAATTTTCTGTGGGAGGAGGCACAGGGGGATATAGAATTTGGGCTGAGGGGGAACTGGGTGGCCTCCCCGGAAAATTTTTGAAAATTGGAACGTCTCGAGAAAATTTTTGAGCCAGTTATCAATAGCAAATTAAATGGAATCAAATATTACAGATGACAGAAATTTTGCTGACTTGTTTTAAACATAGCATATCTTACTGTGGGTTTTAGTTCATTCAAAACATAACACTGTTAGGTTTTATTACATTCCCTATGCCTTTTACCTCAAGACTAATTAGTATCTTGGGCTCTTGATTTTTTTTGGAAGGGGCCGACCAGAATTGTGTGGAGGGCCGTCCCCCCTATTTCCACCCATTTCAGCCTCATTGTCCCTTATTTTTGAAATTTGAGAAAATTTCAGCTCCCCAGGTCTCAAAACGTGTATGAAGAGTTAAAAATAAGGA